GGGCGGGCGGAGGCAGAGGCGCGGGCCGGCCGGCGGGCGAGCGCTGCTGCTGCCCGCTGTGCTGCTGTGCCTGTGCTGCCGGGCGGCGCCGGAGCGGCTCCGCTACGCCATCCCCGAGGAGCTGCCCACAGGCTCGCTCGTGGGGCCGCTGGCGCGGGACCTGGGGCTCAGCCCGGACGAGCTGCCGGCACGCAAGCTGCGGCTCAGCGAGGAGAAGCAATACTTCACTGTGAACGAGGAGAACGGGAACCTGTACGTGAGCGAGAGGCTGGACCGGGAGGAGCTGTGCGGTGAGTCGGCGTCCTGCTCTGTCAGCTTCGAGGCGCTGGTGCACAACCCGCTCAATGTTTTCCACGTTGAGGTGACTATTAAGGACGTGAATGACAACTCTCCTACCTTCAGGAAGGCTGCTCTGGAACTCGAGATCGGTGAATGGACACTTCCGGGTGCTCGTTTTCCCCTGGAGATGGCCCGAGATGCAGACGTGGGCAGCAACTCTCTGCTGACTTACCAGCTTAGCAGCAACCCGTCCTTCTCTCTGGCCATGAAGGAGAACCCGGATAGAAGCCAGCAGCCGGAATTAGTGCTAGAGAGAGCGCTGGATCGGGAGAAGCAGAGTTCCTTTGAGCTGGTGCTGACGGCAGTGGATGGTGGAGACCCCGCGAGGTCTGGGACTGTTCAGGTTCGCATCAACGTGACGGATGCAAACGACAACCCGCCCGTGTTCAGCAAAACTGTCTACGAGTCGCGAGTGGCGGAGAATCTGCCGACGGGGTCGCTGGTGCTGCAGGTGCGGGCCACGGATGCGGACGCGGGATCCAATGGGCGCGTCTCCTACTCGTTCGGCAACGTCCCTGATGCGGTCAGCGCTTTATTTTCTGTCGAGAGCGAGAGCGGTGAGGTCAGGACATTGGGTCCCCTCGACTTCGAGGAGAAGAGTAAATACAGCTTCAGCCTGGAGGCGACGGACGGAGGCGGGCTCACCGGTCACTGTCAAGTGCAGATAGACATCAGAGACGAGAACGACAACGCGCCCGAGATCACGATTCTGTCCCTGTCGAGCCCCGTGCCCGAGGACGCTCCAGCCGGCACCGTGGTGGCCCTGCTGAAAATTCGGGACAGAGACTCCGGCGAGAACGGTGAGGTGTCGTGCGAGCTGTCGGGAGAGGCGCCGCTGTCGATCGTGGCGTCGTCGGGCGGCTCGTACAAGGTGGTGACGGCGAGCGCGCTGGACCGCGAGCAGGCGTCCGAGCACCGCGTGACGGTGGTGGCCCGGGACCGGGGCAGGCCGGCGCTGTGGA